GGTAGACCGATAGGAATCAACTCAGTTTATTAGCCAGGAGCATGTTTGCAGAATTGTGGGTCGGCTAGACGTAATAGTCTATTAAATGTGCGGGCTCGACCCAATAACAAATCGGCCAGATGAATGGGCCAGGTAGGTTGAGGAGGTGGGCTAGCATTGAAATGGGCTTGGCAGTTATCACATTTGCGGATGAAGAAGCAAGGAGATCAAGTTAAGGACTTGCATATAAATAGGTAACGCAGGTATGATGGGGGGGCTAAGTCTCTTTACCTCACAAAAACCCTAGTATGTAAGGCTAAAGTAGGCGAACCAGCAGCAGCGAATTCCCCATTTTAATAGAACGGTAAAAGAGGGGCAACCCTTTCTGGTAGTTCCCGGTCTTCTTGTTTTCATTGAACACCCCTTTCCTTTCTCTTTTTGAACTTGCTTAGTAGGCCTAAGCCACAATATCTATGCCTGATCGTCTCTTTCGTAATTTTTCTCGTTCCTCTTTACCTCACAAAAACCCTAATATACATACTGATCTTTCCTGTATACCCTACTAACTTGAGCGTCGGAGGTTTACCGCCGGGAACACTTCCCGTCGTCTTTGCAGGTCTTGGAGGGCTCAAGCGGTTGGGTTCAAGGATAATCGGTCTAGCGTGCAAAAGCACATCATTGTTCGTATTTATTTTTTCCAACTTCAACAAAATATATATATATTTCTTTATTTTCTATTGTACATTTGATTATTTTATCAACTACCCTTGTAGTACACGAATATTGTACTAGTTATATAAGATATTAAAATAAAATAAAATAAATATTTTATTATCTTATCTTATATAATATTAGATTAAATAAAATAATAAAATTTATTATCTTATATTTATTTTATTTTATTTTACCATTATCAACTTTATTGTTTATATTATATTATTTTTATTTAATTTTAACATGTGTACTTTAATCTTGTTTATTTTTTTATTTAATTTTTTCATTATTATTTTTATTTCCAAATTTACATAATTAAATTTATTTTAAGAAATAATAAATATAATAATTTTTTAAAATTTAAATAATTTAAATGCATTGTACTATAATAACTATCTTACTTTATTTTAATTTATATTTTTATTTATTATTGTATAATTTATTTTATTATATTTCAATTATTATAAGTTTATATCTTATTAATATAATTTACATTCTCTTTAAAACTTAATTGTATTTATTATACTTAGTGACCATATATATTAATCGCTATTCAATTTAACATAGAACTTGGATTGATGTTGTGGTTATAATGTCATAATGCAACCCAAAGGTCTTAAGTTTGAACCTTGGCTCTATTTATATTTTTTGTTGCCACGTCAGCAATCACATCAACAAAAAATTGACATGTCAGGAAGGTCAGAAACCGTCACATCAACAATAAATTGTCATGTCAGCCACGTCAACAGCCATGTCAGCAAAAACGTCACGTCAACAGACATGTCAGCAAGTGAAGCCCGAAATTGGGCCTGGTGCATCCAATTGCCAAAAACTGTTAAAGTGTTGTATATAAGTATAAAAATGGTGCATATAATTGTAATTTTAAAAAATTTTATGGTTTTATTAGCAATTAAGCCAATAAAAAATGCACATGTTCAACGTTCAAGCACCTTACAATGAGGTTGGTAGATAGAGCCTCCATTCACTACACCAAAAAACAACTTAGTACTTATACTTAGATATAAGATATCCCAACAATATTCCAAACATTTTTAATTTAACTATTTTTTTTTAAAGTTAACTTTAACTCAACCTCACTATCAGTAACATTATCAATATAATTAATATAATATTATTAATTATTTTTTACACATCAGATCAACTTTAATTTACAATTAATCTATTTATAATTTTATTTAATCATTACTTCACATAATATATCTCCTACTTTTACATCAAATAAACTTAATTATTTTATTTTAAGTATTAATTCAATGGAAACTCAAAACTTCACCAATAAATAAGAATACCAACAGTTTCAAAATAACCCTGATTAACCGAAAACTTCATACAAAACAAAGACAAAACCAAGAAATCTTATATCCTTGATAAATTGATATCACATAAATAAATCAAAATAAATACATTTGTTAAAAAAAAATAAAAAAAAATATAGAATAAGCTAAATTAAAATAAAATATCATACAATAAAATAAAGTAAAGTAAATTTGGAGTTCAATATGTTTTCTGGAGAAGACAAGTAATCAATTCTTCAACCATGGGACTTTATCAATCGCAAGATTTCTTTTAATTTAATTCATGAATATGCTTGTCTTGATTGTTGAGATTGTTGATGTTTAATCGAATATAAGTGGCTAAATTCAAAAGGGAATAGAGGATGATATTTTGATTTTTTTCTTGATTATCGTGCTTGTCGATTGTTTAATTTATACGAGTTGATCTTTATCAGGGTTTACAATTATCGTACTTGAATTATGAAGATTGTTGAAGAGTGACACTTCAATTTCCAATTGATTTTCAATTGAATTCGAATTGTTCTCGTGTGATGTTGTTCATTCGAATTGATTAGTCGATTAAAAACCGTCTAGTCATATTTAATGGACTCTTAGAAACGAAAGGGGAGGAGTTGATCGAAACATGCTCGTATAAAATAGGCTTGTTCGTAATTGTATGGCCTATGTGTTAAACGACTCGTCAAATTTGTCGTTTATGTTTAATCTCTTGTTACAACATGTTATTGAGGATGAATCTCTGAGTGAGTAGGTTATGCGAATCATTTAACCGAATAATCACTTTCCCGATAATTGTATTTCGAACCAAAATGAAAATCACCGACTCTCTAGCTTCTTTATCCTTGTTTGACCTTTGTCGTTGCTTGATATTTCAATTTTACTTGTTTGATTTCTCTTAGTTGATAGATTAAAATCAAACCAATATCTGAATTAGAATGTTTAAGAATTTTATTTCACCTTTTTGTGTTTAAATAAACGTACATTATAATTCGGCTAACCTTCCTCGTGAGATCGACCGAGGAACGAACCTTTCGATTCGGTACTCGATAAAAATAACATAATTTGCTATAACAGAAACTTTAAGGAATAGTTGGGGAACCGGACCGTGCACATTCGGTTCGGTTATTACGGTTCCTACGGTTCTTCATTAACCAATTGGAAATTCCAAACTACAAATCTAATACAAATAATACAATATAAATTCACAAAAAAAAAAAAAAATCTGGTACAATATGTAGCATAGTGGTATAGCCAACACATGAAACTGATTCTCGAATTGATACCTACCCGACTTTCTTCCTTACTAAATTTGTTGATCAGCTGAAGCTTTTTGTTCTAGAAGTCGTGAGAAATGGGTCTAGGCCAAATTGATGTGAGGCTCGTCGTCCCCGAATGATGCGCTGGTAGCGGCGAACTACGGGCATAAGGAAGGAACAATGGTCAAATTGATGTTTGTCCCACCAAAAGGGTTATGAGCTGCCTGAGATTTGGAATTCGGAGTGCAGTCCATGGGGATGGACGGGACGTCGCGATGACAGACTGCGATTTGGTCATGGAAATTGGATATGCAGACTAAAGGAGGAAAGGGAAAAAATTGAGGTTTTATTTTTATTTTTATTTTTATTTTAGCAGTTTGTAACCCTCGAGATTTTGAAAGGACTAATAATTTGAGCTATTGGGCCTAATTCTTTATTGGTAATTGTTGGGTTGGTCTTATGACATGCATTTGTCTAGCATGACTCCTCTGTTATCCAGTTTTGACAGATTTTTGAAGGAAAACCGACAACCGGAACAAACAATTAGAGCTGTTATGCCAAACGAGCCGCTCGTGAGCTCGGCTCGGCTCGACTCATTAAAGCTCGAGTTCGGCTTGGTTCGTTTGCTAAACGAGCTGAGCTCAAGCTCTATGAAAGGCTCGTTCCATTAACGAGCCGGTTCGGCTCGGCCCGCTAATTACTCGTTAGGCTCGTATTTTTATGTAATTTTTTTACCTTTACTCTTAGTATTTGAGACTCTTTGACCATTTCAGTTACCCTAATTCTTGTCTTACACTTACCCCACTACACTTACCATTTTTTATTTCCCCCTTCTCATTTTTTCCGCCGCCATCCTCAATTCCTCAAATCTCAATCTTCAATTCTTCATTCCTCATCTCGTCGACCGTCGTCTTCCACTCAATCCATCTTCACGCATCTCATCAGTCATCATCCTCAATTATTTTTCCTCAATTCCTCGTCGAGTCTCGCCTTTTTTGGTCTCTCCATCGCGGCCCCGACAGCAAAATCGTCATTGGAGTTAAGGATTAATTGCCCCTCTTGTGTTTATCCTTCAATAGTACTGTTGTTTGGAGAAATTTATGTAAGCATGTTTGTGCTTGTGTGTGTGCGCGCCTTTTTAACTTAATGTATGTTTATTATTACTTGAAGTGTGACTGGACTTCAATGGCTTCAATGATTTGTTGTGGGAAGTAATTTAGAATGGGGAAAAGAAGGCACTTTAATTTTGATCTGAGTTGCCAACAAAATGAACACTTTTGAGTTAGAATATGGTGAAATTGTATGTTGTTTGAATTTCCTGTAAGGTTGTGCTACTAAGATAATTAATCTGTATTTGTGATCCTGTGGATTTATAACTTTTTTATTTTGTTCTGTTCAGTATCCCTTGATATTGGTATGTACAGCCCCATTTTCAGTTCCAATTCATGTTCAAATATTGGTATGGATCAAATGATTGAAGTTGACATTGAAGAGAATCCTGATGTGATGAGTGAGGAAGAAATTGCAATTATAGAAGAAGAACTGAATGACCAAGATGAAGATGGAGGTGCAGATAAACCATTTGAGAAAAAGAAGCGGGGAAAGAAGTCAAAGGTGTGGGATAGCATGAAAGTCGTAACACTGAAGAATGGAACAAAAAATGTGAAATGCTCTCACTGTAAGTCACTGTTTTCAAAGAGTGCATCTGGAACTACAACTCAGTACAAGCGTCATCTAGCCTCTTGCCTGCAAAGGAAGCTGAACTCCGGAGATCAAAACATGTCGCAACAGGTTCTGTCGTTTTCAGAACAAACTGACGGTATCACTTCTATTACCAATTTCTCATACGATCATGCAAAGGTGCGTGAGCTTGCATCTCATATGGTATTAGTGCATGAGTATCCATTTTCTATGATGGACCATCATGTTTTCAACAAGTTCATGAAAGCTGCAACTCCTTTCTATAAAAAGATTACCCGTCAGCAAGTGAAAGAAGATTGTTATACAACTTATGAACTAGAAAAAAGAAAGCTGAAACATCTTTTAAAGGGTGCTAGTCGGGTTAGTATAACTACTGATTTGTGGAAATCTGGTCAGAAAGTTTAATACATGGTTGTGACGGGGCATTTTGTTGATTCTGATTGGGTGTTGCAAAAACGTGTCTTGAACTTTTGTAATGTTCCTCCTCCACATACAGGAATCATCATTGATGATGCATTAAGCAAGTGTTTTATTGATTGGGAGATTCAGAACAAAATTTGTAACATAACTGTCGACAATGCTTCCTATAATGATTTGTGTATCAGGAGACTTAAAGAGGATTTTTCTTTAAGAAATAAGTTAAGTATTGGTGGAAAAATGTTTCATGTGAGGTGTTGTGCTCATATACTTAATCTTTTAGTAAAAGATGGTTTGAAGAACATTGAAAACGTGGTTGATGCCGTTAGGGATGGGATTAAATACTTGAATAATTCAGAGTCTCGCCTCATTCAGTTTTCCAAAATTGCCAAACAATTGCAACTACCTTCTAGAAAGTTGATTTTGGATTGCGCAACTAGATGGAATAGCACATATCTGATGTTTTCCTCGGCTTTAGAGTTTAAGGATGTTTTTCCGAGGTATTTGGAAATTGATGCTGCGTTTAAATATGTTCCAGATAAGTGTGAGTGGTCCCACGTGGAAGAAGTGTGCAAATTTCTCGGTATCTTTTATGAAATCACTAACATGATTTTGGGATCCGACTATCCAACCTCCAATCTTTTTCTTGTGGAGCTTTATAGGGTTAAAGAGCTTTTAAAAGAAAAGTCTTTGGATGAATCTGAGCACATAAGGGCTATGGCTTCAGATATGGAGTTGAAATTCGATAAATATTGGGGTGAGTGTAACGTGTTGTTGTCGTTTGGTGCTATTCTAGATCCGAGGTACAAAATGGTGCTTATTAATCATTCTTTTCCGATAATTTATGGTGAATTTAATGCTGTGGAGAAAGTTGCTAAAATTACAATGCTTCTTTATGAGCTTTATAATGAATATGTTGATGCTCATGTCTTGTCTTGTGCCGAAGAACCATCAATGAAAACAAAGCGAAAAAGGAATGATATTGGTTCTTCTTCAGTTAAAGAAGGTTTTAAAAACCTGGAGGAGTTAGTGTTCTCACTGGTAGGGAAAAGTTTTTGTTGCATGCAAGTGAAATTGATAAAGCCCCCCCAGAAAAATCAGACTTGGATTTGTATCTAGAAGAAAGCAGATACATTTGTGATGCGTCTGCTAATCTTGATGTTTTAGCATGGTGGAAGGGGGAGCGTCTAAGATTTCCAATATTGTCAAAAATGGCTTGTGACATTCTTTTCGTACCAGTTACAACTGTGGCCTCCGATTCCACCTTTAGTGCTGGTGGTCGAGTAATTGATGATCGACGAGCTTCCTTATCGGTCGAGACTGTGCAAGTATTACTTTGTGGTAATGACTGGATTCGGAATCATTATGAATTGAAAACCAGGCCTCGTGGAAATGTAAGAACATTCTTTTCTTATATTGTTATTAAAATGAAATTTCACCATTTGATATCTATCTTTTTTTTTTATATCTATTTT